ACTTGACCTAACCTACACTGCATACACTTTCGGAACTCTCTTTTTACTAAAAAGTGATCTGTGCTGTGATCTCTTGTTCGAAAATCTTTTTGCTGGGAATAAATATTTCCATTTGTGATTGTCAAGATTACATTCTATCAGTATACTGTTGCTGTGGTATTCTCTTTTAAAGGTATGTTTATAACAAGTTAATATAAATATATTAAGAAATATATATAACGTCTCTGACAGTAACTCCATACATTTCTAAAATTTATATATTTTCATTATTTATACCGGTTTCTTTTATATTTTTCATTATTTTTTTTATTTACTATAATGTAAAATTTATGACAAACGATGCAAATATTCGATGCTATTTGAGGTTATCAGCTATCTGTTGCATTGTTTTAGAAATGTCGCAAGATGCTTCCTATTTCTTTATATTTCGTTTCTTACTCTTTTCTTGTTATTACAGGGTTACTGAAAGTTTGTTGGGTATATAATTTACAAGGAAATAAGTTGTGCCGTATTACTTCAAATATGTCAACTTTAAAAAAAAAAGAAAAATGTTAGACATTGTACATTTCATCGATTCTGATGATTGTGGGAAAAAATCTATTGACTGTGTTCCATCAGCATGGATATTTTTTGATAAAGAAAGACGCAAGCTACAGACAAAATTTATGCCGCCTCCATATATAATATTACAAAAAGATGCAATTTATTGCATAGTTTGGTCAAAAACAACGGAATAGCACCGGACAAATGGCCTAATTATGCTATAAAGAGAGTGGATAGTGCCGGTATCCTTATTTTCATTAAATACAGGCAATGAGTATGTTTAAAAAAAGAACTTTCTAATCTTACTACAGTAATGCTTTAGCAGAATTACTTCAGTAATGCTAATTAATTTACAAAAACTTTAATTGTTTATAATATAAAAATGTGTTATGTTTATATGATATACCATATGTATAAATATGTGTGTGTGTGTATGTGTATATATATATATATATATATATATGTATGTATGTATGTATGTATGTATGTATGTATGTATGTGTATATATACATGTGGGTATGTATATATGTATACAAAAATACTTATATATGGTATACTATAAATATGGCAAGTATGGTACATCATATAAACATAATATAATATATTTACATTATGAACAATTAAATTAATTGTAAATTAATTATGAATTATTGAATGAGAAGGTTGGAAAATCTTTGTTTTAAATATAACTCATTGTTTTTTGTTTTAATTTAAAAAATGAATTAATTAAATATAGTTTGTACATATATATATATATATATA